CATATAAGCATTGCTAGAAGGTACACATATATTAATATCACTAGGTCTGAAGAGTTTGGTACATTTGTTTTACTATGTGTAGAATGTGCAGTTAACTTTTTCTTCCCTTTTAGCAAAATCACTCATCATTGTTAGGTCTGATACTGAGCTGACAGATCTACTGTGAGAATGAGATGACATATCTACTGTGAGAATAAAAATTATGTTTGAAAACTTTTGTATACACCAGGGTGTCTATATATTGAGAAAAATATATAAACACACGCATGCATGCACATGTCACATCTCTCTACTGTGGAGTTAATGTGAATTTTTACTTTTAAATGGAATTGCAACCACAATCATTACTAAAAGAACATTCACTCCTAGGGAGGTTTTATAAAAGCCACTAAAAGAATGAGGTAGACAGATGAAAATGCAATGGGTCATCATTTGGGGTTATTTTTATTTAAAAATCGATTGTGCTACTTTTGAAAGAACTTTTTTTTCCTGCTTTTTGTGATTGAAGGTCATCTAATGGTAAGCAGTACAGTAATAGTAAGCTACTTTTTAAATTGCTGGCAAACAGCTTTAAGTGCACTTTCTTTGATTAAACTTCCATTTTTTGTTAAACTTGAATTTTCTGAAGCCTTTTATGTACCACTAAGCAAATAACTTTTAATAAACCTGATTTACGTGCTTATTATATTTCTGATTGTTACAAAACATACTTTCTAAAGTAACTTCAATCCTCAAATATAGCTGGGAAACTTTATGAGATAGAATCAGTTGCTTTTTTCTTTCTACATCTAATTAAGCACTAACTGATTTTACGACTTTATTGCCTTTACGTTGCTTATTCTTCTTGACTGAATTCTGTCCCTCATTCACTTTGTTTTGTTTGAAATTTAAAATTATTTTCTTACTGTATTTATCATACCTACTGTTTTAATAATCTGCTTTCTTTAAATGCAATAAATCCCAAATGGATTGCATATTCTTTATAATTAGTGACTTTGGAGTTTTTCATTATTTGTCTTAAATGTTTTGGATGTAGACTTCTATTCAGTTCTTTTATTCACACTACAGACATGAAGCACCTATTATGCTCCAGCTAGTGGAATAGAAAAATGGATAGGATTAGATCTCTGTTCTTAGGGTAAAACTCACAGTGTAGGATTTAAGTAAGAAAACCTATTGTGACCTAGCATTTTTGCAGCAAAAATACTTCATAGCACAATTTGTTCAGGCACTACAATTACTGATAATTATAATAATGAAGGTAAGGCAAAAACATGACTTTGAAGTACCTTTTGAATGTTTGGCATTGTTTTTGCATTGTGTATAATTTATTTAAGCTTCTTAAAAACTGGTAATGTATATAACTTAAAAAATATTTGGTTAAATAAAATATTGTAATCCTTGATTATGTCAGAAAAGAGGCTTTGGCACGTTAAAACGTTAAAGAGAAAACCTGTTTATTGGACTGGTGGACTAAGTTTGGTGTCAAGATTGCATTATCTTACGTATTATTTCACAAACTGAAGTCTTTAGATTGGTGGCTGGTGGAAAGATTCATCTTGTTACGAACTTTTTTTTTTTTTGACTTAGTAACACCTGAAGTTACATGGAAGAATAAGGGCTTTGTGTCTTTTTAGTAAATTGTACGAAATGTGGAATGTACCACTGTTCAAATTCAGTTATGGTTAACTTCTTTAGAGAAAAATATATCCTGCAATTAGAGCTATTTATTTTGAATAGCGAATCCCTTTTTAAAGAAGTCCAGCTCTAGCATCATCTGTAAGATGTAGTTAATTCTTCTCATAGTGAAGGCATGAGCTTTTGAAGTTTTATGTTGCGCACTTAAAAATAGTTCGCTTTTGCTTCAGACGGTTGGCACTACTGAAATTACAGGTATGTTCTGCATAGTGTTTTTGATCCCAGACTTACAAAGCAGGACTAGAGCTTTGGTGGCTATCGTTCCTACCCGCTAAGGACAGAATTTCCACTTTTCACAAGAGAACCCTATTGCTGTTACCTCTGCCTTGTGAAAATGTTTCCTTAAAGGTAGTTTCAGTTTGGGGTCATTATCTCACTACCTACTCAGGAAGTATGATACAGAATTTCAGGGGACATTGGTACCCAGTAGCATCTGCACCTCTTTTGAATACAAACGCAGTAATTGTGATAATGCATGGAAAAGACACTTCTGTCCCTGCCTGAATAGCTAAGCTGATTCTTCACACATTCTGGCAGGGCTGGAATTACCCGGAATGATGACTTCAGGTGGATACAGATCTACTCAGCTCAGCAGTTGGCAGGAATCCAGAAGTGCAGGCTTTGCCCCTTGACATTTTAATACAGGGCAAAGGATAGCTCTAGGTAGGTACCTGCCAAATGGAGTTGCACAGCTTTATGCCAGTCAATCACAATCTTCAAATCGGTTACTTTGTCCAGGTAGGATGCCAAAGGATGTGACAGAGATTCCCTGAATCTTCATTCCTGATTCTAAAATACGATTTTGAAGCTGTTATGTATTATAAAGAATGACAAACAGTGCTTAATATATTTAGTAAACCCAGTTTATTTACATCATACATATTTTACCATGCAGCTGACTGAATTGCACTCAAGTGTAATAACAAAAAAGACAAGCACTACCTTTTGAAAATGGCTTTATATAGAAAGGTAATTGCCTCAAATGAGTTAACTACAACCTTATAAATCACAATAGACAATTTAAAACAGCCATGGATAGTTTTAAAATGTACGTGTAAAGTCTGTAGGTAAAGAGCTTTTATAGTTTATACACTGTAAAATTAAAACCAGTTTTTTTAGTATGGCAGCTGAATATGTACTTTTAATCTTATTTTTTAATAAATCTATAAAACAAAAATAACTTAAATATACATTATTACAAGGCTCAGATTTGTAGGCAATTTTTAAATATTCTTTCATGTTAACAGTGTCTTAAAAAATTTGCCAGTAGTGGTATGCACACAGTAGGTGGTCAATAAACACTGACATACAGAAGTGTTTATAGTTGACAGCAATCCACATTCATTCTTTCCCTACTTAATAATAAAATACAGTAAAGAGGAAAATGAGAGAGGATAGCTTTCTTACAATATTTAACATTTTCATAAGATGAAATGTTCACAGGGTATAATTCTCCCTCAGTCAGAGCTACATGCCTTTCAAATTAAAAAAACAGTCAAACACAGTATGCCCTTTTTATCCATTAAGTCAGATGGCAAGTATTAGATAATTCATACACTCAAAAAACCAGGAATGTTTTTTAAAAATTAAAACAGAACTTAAAATTCAGTGTTTTTATTTTGAGAAGATTTTATGGTAAAAATGGTACCAGGCCTAAAATGACTAGACTTTTCTATTTTTAAATTAATTATAACTACTCTCAGTGTATTTTATTTGGCTAAAATGACAAAATATCTATTTAAAATCAATAATACCATATTAAACCCATAAGGGTTGTTTTGTGGAAAATACATCCTATTATCATTACAGCAAAGTCTTTTTATCACTCAGCAATATGGATGAAATTTGTGGCCTTATGAGGCAAAGTAGCCATTTTCAAAGTAGTGTGTTCCATCATCATAATGGGTACAATACAGCGCCCTTAGCCTATTGCGAAGATTCTCCATGCTGAGATGCTAGCATGGGGAATTTATATTCCAAAAACACTATACTGAAAAGAAACAAAATTTTACAGATGCATAAACGGAGGCACATTAAAGTAAATTTCTAATACGAGATGTATAAATGGCAATGTGGAAGTAAGCTTCGCCATCAATCAACACTTCTGATATTTAGGAATTCCAATGTTCTGAAGAAATTTGGATAATATTTTATATATTATCCCACTAAGAAATTTGGATAATATTTTATATATTCCAATGAACATGTTTTTGTGAATGACTGCTTCAAAAGGGATTTAATTTATACATATGAAAAAACCACGAACAAGAAGAGCGTTGTATGCTAGGGCAGTGAGACCTATTTCTTAGGTATATACAATAAAGAATAATGTTTCAGGCCCAAATACTAGATAGTGTGTATCAATACTCTGAGTTGTCAATAAAATGCTAACACATGCATAAAACAGGGAAAGACTAGAGTACAGGGGAATAATCCTGTCATCAATTGGGGCATCTGCATGACTTTGTTCTAAGGCTTAAGGTTCATTTCGGGGTCAACTCTGGGCCATCTGGACTCTGGCCTTGAAAGTAAGTAGCACCCATTTAACTGGGAACCCCCATCCATCAAGAAATTTAGGACTGCAAATTCAGAGAGGTGAAACTCTCTATTTTGCTACAGGAATTTTTGAACCAAAAATCTGTAATCCACTGGCAAGAGTGCAATTATACAGAACTAAGTAATATTCTTTGAATTTAAAAAGCTTAAATGTGAATGCCTTGGTTATTAGACCACAGAATTGGTTGCCTGGTCATATAATCAGTTTTTAATGCGCTTCTTATCTGATGGGAAATGACAATGCAAGTTCTTTTCCTCTTAATGCCTCTCTCAACTTAAAGGAGGAAAGGTTTAAAGTTTTTGTTCTAGCAAACTAAAAAATCCAATGTTCCTAAGGAGAAGAGAGCCTATAGCTAAAGGAAATCCTGTCTTACGTGCCAGTTTCTCGCAAACCATGTATTTAAAGGCTAGTAATGATTCAAAACCACTCTTCTGGCTGTGTTAAGCATAGGCTATGGCAACCCTGGCCTTGATGAGGCACTTCAACTTGATCAACCACCAGTTAACTATCTTCTATTAAAGAAATCACACAGGATGACTCCATTTTATAATGGAGGTAAGCCCTTCCTAAGGAAATTAAGCTGGTGTTAAGTAAAACAAATACTGTTTCTACACTGGTTTCACATTCATTGTTATTCAGATGTTTCTTATAAATGTCAACTAATTTTCACTTTCTGTACAAGCAGCAAATTAGTAGTTTTAAGGGCTGTAAAGCAGTTATTACAGATCCCCAAGTATATTTTTCCATTTTTATAAAGTATTACTCATGATATATTAAATAGGAGGAAAAAGGAAAAACGAATGTGAATCTTAGAAATAGTGGGGTATACAACTCCCCATTACATATTGCTTGACGACTGAATACACCAGGCGGCCATACCTGAATTCACAAATGTGAAACATGGTCAGGGCAAGGCTTGCTATGCCTGTACTGCATGACATACACTGTTGACTGATGCCACCAATATAACATCACTACTGCAAGGATATGCCATATCTGGTGGCTTGATCCGAGGTAGTTTAGTTGTCCTAGAAGGGAAGGCAGAGAGAGAACAATATTGATTGTAATATTTTGATATTAAAATAAGAATGTATTTTTATCTCTGGCCTTAGAAATATGGCTTAGCGCAAAAAGATTTTGGCAGTGTCAGAGCACCTGGAGACTGACAGGAGATTCATTCAAACCCAACTGTTTTTTTAAAAAGGATGAATTCATATTTGGGTCTAATTTAAGGACATTGGTGAATTTTGAAATGCTATTCCAAGTGTGTCTTCCAAATCTAATTTGGTTAATTTCAGGAATTCGACCTTTGGTCTCCCCTGTCTCATGTGTTCTCTATCTGGATATATGTGTCATGGACGAATCCACAAAATGTAATTAGTATGGCTTCATTAACTAAGGTTGATGAGTTCATACACAACTCAGAACTATTTCTCTTTGTGCTTAAAGTTTAAATTCCAAGGAGATTAAATAATTAACATGTGGGAAGCTTCTTGAAAAAGAACAAAATAAATACAGAGCTATAGAAATTTAAATGTAAATCTCTATTCCTTATTCATGGTGCTTCTATGGTCACGTAATGTAAATATTCTCTAACCACTGTCCCTGTCTTTTCTTACAAAGAGAAATAGTACAGTATGTAGGTTTTAAAGTCTGCACAATCCTTTCTGTAAGGGTTCCAAGCCTTTTTTTGGTCCCACAGCACACTTTGACAGTCCAGTGAAACCCACAGACCCATTTTCAAAAGCACAAAATACAGAGTATTATAAAGAAAACTGATCATACTGTCATACAAGTATCACAGATCCACTTAGTTCTGTCCATGGGTACCTTTGGGGATCTTTGGATCCCATCAAATACCATTGTGTTGTTTCTATATTTTTAAAAATGTAACTGAGCTGAAAGTAAGTTCTTAGGTGTCAATTTGTTGATCTCATAGTATTCACCCACCATCTCACCACTGCACGTTTCTCTCTACAGCCAGGTCATAAATGGGGACTGGCAAGACAAGGTTTCTAAGCCACTCATTCAAGAGCATCTGAGACTATCATTTTTTTTTCTGAGAAGACTTTTTATCTCATACGGTCTCCATGTCTCCGCTGCCCCTGCACTCTGTCACACGCTCCTCTACACGGGGCACAGTTTATGTCAAGCTCATCTGGGGGAAAAGTTATTTAACATTTGACCTTTTATAGGGGTCTTATGTTAGACAACTGGGAACTTCTGATATGAATATTTTAAGGCATAAAAACACTATGGCCACAATTATGTAGTGTAGAAAAATTTCATGGTTGAATTTTCTACATGTACTTGTCATGAAGAAATTAGTAATAAAAGATTAATAAAGTGATATAAATATAAAAATATATTTTGCCAGAACCATTTTCTGAGGAAAATTCTGGCCCTCCCTGAAGGATGGGTGGTCTTCAGTGAAGGGACATGTCCTAGTTATGCTCTTGAATCCTAATGTTTACACTCAGGTTCTTCTTTCTACTCCACTCGTATTTAAAACTCACTGGTGAAAAACAAATGCACAGAAGAATGCCTGAGGTTCTGTGATCTATTCATTCGCTAGATCAGGGTTTCTCATCCTTTTTCTTCCCAACGTACATCATGAGTGGCATAATCCTATCTTCAATTCACTGTGGAAGAGAATCTTAGCCCAGGAAGGAAGGACAAGTTTGCAGTTTGAATATGAACCACTGCCCTACTTCTAGCTCCTCAAACCAAGAAAATCACTGCTCTATGTACTCTGTTATCCTTGACTCAAGCCAAAGCTCACCTGGACTTAACACCATTCTGTCCCTTACTAAACCACATTTTCCACTTATGGGACTGAGGTCGAGGGACATCATCATCATAATAGTTGTTGGCATGTGCTGAGTGCTTCCTACTTGTGAGGAACCTTGCTAAATGGTTCATGTACATTTTCTCATGCAGTCCTCACAATAACACCATGAGAGAAAGTATCTCCATCCTCAGATGAAGAAATGAGCTGAAAAAGTACAAGTAACTTATTTAGCTCGTGCAGCTAGTAAGTGGGTGATGTGGATTTGAACCCAAGCAGTCTGACTCCAGACCGAAGTTCCTAAGCAAGCAAATACATGTTTTGGACATTATTCATTCTACCCAGTGTCCTCTTGGTTCTTTTCTATCAAAGATGGTTTTTTTCTGGACTGAAGAATCAGGGAAATCTGTCCTTCTATTGGGTTACTAGCTTGTGTATATCTTGTGGACGTGAAGATTTTTAACTTCTATTATCTTCCCCTTAGCAGTGGGTACCAGTGTAGTCATGAAGGCAGATTGGTGGCCTTTAATTTTAGAACCTCATGATGGATATATGGTGAAGTGATCCTAACGCTGGCTTCTTTTTGTTATCTTACTTCCCTCTGTCTTTCTTATTCTTGTTTTGTGGATCTCTACATGTATAATTTTTTAAGATGAGTGATATATAAAGAAGTCAATGATAATTGATAATTAGTATCCACAAAAAAAGCAGTGGTTGGGAGTCAGAAGACTCCCAGCTCTGTCACTAGCTCATAATCGGGAAATGGTGGTGACCTCATCTACTGCACTCAACTCATGGTGAGGAGGAAAGGAAGTTTGTGAAAGCCCTTTGAAAGTTAAGCTTTTAGGTAACATTTAACAATAGGAGGGCCATTCTATAACCAATTATATTGAAAAAAATCTAACTTTTGATACTCTGAAGCATAGACTTCCACCATATATTTAGAATAAAGTCACAAGATCACTACGAAAGTGATACTTACCTGGAAAGTACCGTTCTGGAACTTTGGAAATGTAGAATAGGAAAGCAAGAAGAGCAATCACATACATCACAATTACACGGGGTGCAAAGTCCTGAAAAGCAAAACATTTTTTCACAGATCTTTTTACTGTGACTGAATTCCTAATTTATTATGAATCGAATTCACAAATTAGGTAGAATTCATAGGTGGAATTTAACCTTGTTAAATCTCAATTGCTTTTGTTGATAGTCTCCAATTATAGAAACCTTGCTCTCAATACTGTAGGAAACAGGGGCACCTGGCTGGCTCAGTCAGTTAAGCGTCTGACTCTTGGTTTTGGCTCAGGTCATGATCTCAGGGTTGTGAGATCGAGCCCCTGTCGGGCTCCATGCTCAGTGCAGAGTCTACTTGGGATTCTTTCCCTTTCCTTCTTCTTCCCTATAGGAAATGGCCCACAGGAGTGGAACAGAGTAAAGGTGAGGGTACTAAAGAAGCTAGAACTTTAACATGGTTGAAGGTCCTAAAACACCCAACTCCAACTACAACATAGATGCATGGGTGGAATGCATATGGGGAATGGAGTTACCAGCTGAACAAGCAAAATAACTGAAGATCAGGGTCTTGTGGCTAGAAAAGACACAAGAGGTTTAGGGGGCACCTGGGTGGTTCAGTCGGTTAAGTGTCTGCCTTCAGCTCAAGTCATGATCCCAGGGTCCTAGAACTGAGCCCCATGTCAGGCTCCCTGCTCAGCGGGGAGCCTGCTTCTCCCGCTGCCTCTGCTGCTCCCCCTGCTTGTGCTCTCTCTCTCTCAAATAAATAAATAAATAAATAAAATAAAATCTTAAAAAAAAAGTTTGGCCCAACAATGAAATCCGTCCACCAACCCGATAAATGGTCCTCCTGAATTACTATATGAAGCAGTCTATCAGCTCTAATTGGAGAGCTTTTCCTTGCCCTAAGAATATTAGCCAGCTAAAATTGTTACATATTGTTCCTAATTTTGGTTATAAACCTAATTCACCAAGAAGCCATTTAAGAAATAAAGACAAATTAGTTCTCTCTATAAATACTTGAGAATTATCATGGCCCTCCTGAAATCCTACATTCTTAGACTAATGACTATGAGATTTCTCATTCTAGAACACAACCACACCCTGCTTCCCAGGATTAGCCCTTCTGGAACTTTTCATCTTCGGTTAAGTCTCTCCCTCTTTCCCCATCTTTTAAAAATTACAGCTTATTAGAGAATTTCTCAGGACGTCTCCCTCTGCTTCTTCACTGGAATGATCTGTGATCACATTAGATTTCCATCTTTCAGAACCACTATTTTCCTAAACCATATTTCTATTGTAAGATTTTTGGACACAGGAAAGCTCCCATATTTTTATGAATTTCTCAAAAATCTACTGGCTTAATAGGTCTGGTTCTCTATCATTACAAGCTTAAAAGGGATGCATTTATTACTTCATCTCAAATTTCGGTCCCTTCTATGTTAATAACCAGTTTAAATTACCCAATTAAATCTACAGTTGCATTTCACCACTGTATTTTCTTTAACTTATATTCAGGGAATTAAAATTGGTGGAGAAATGATGTTTTCAGATATCAGGATCACTGAAGTTCCTCATCACTACTGTCTCACTTTCTCCCAATTTCTTAATCTTATGAAGAAAGCATCACCCTGTTCTCAAGTTGACAAATCAATACCACTCAACTAGCTATATCACAGAATTTCCTTCCTTTCTAGTTTTATACCCAAATGCTTTCCATCATGCTGTTGCCGACTTCATGCAAGTACATGTAAGCCTACTGTTCGTTCTCCCGTCTTCTAAAAAAATATGATCCTTTTGAATAAAACCTGCATTTAAATCCCTATATTCCAGACAAAGGTCCCATTGCAACAACTGTACATTATTTCTGCTAGATTTCCTAGCATATTTACTGATGTTAAAAATTCTTAAGTTTACTCTCAAGCATATTCTTAAAGCATTTTTGTATGGATCTCTGAGCTCTTATTTCTAATTCCCTTCTCAAGAATACTGAGGCGTTCTCACTGAGCTACCTCCTAAATGCACTTCGACTTGCCCCATAATACCTAACTCTATAAGCTCTTCTTTTACTTCCCAGTATATTGTCCTTGGTGGGTGGGACATGTTCTCATGGCTCCAGCTAGTAATGATTTTCAAATCTTATCACTAGTCTCAAACTGTGACCTAAATTCCGACTCCATCTCCACCTTTACATCCCACAGGTGCCTCAAATTCAACAGGTCCAAGGAAAAATCTTTCCAGGTTCCTTTCCCTCCACAAAAATCAATCAATCAATCAATTCCTCCTAGTTCCATATTTGTGTTATCACTGGCATTATCCTTGCCATAGCTAACAAAGCTGGGAACTTGGAAGTTCTCCTCCACTGATAAGGACTTGGGCATTTACACACTCATGGTAGCAGAAGGAGAATTAACGTATTTTGCAGAAAGACATCTCGGAAAAAAAAGCAACAGTTACACTTCTTTTTCCTGCAAGGCATGCTTATTTATATAGATGTGAACATTATGGCATTAATATGCAATTATAAATATTTTCTCAAATGACAGACCCAGCCACCTGGTCTGATTATAGTACTTTACCCCAAATGAATATAATCGAAAGGACAAAAAAAATGAGAAAAATACTGACTACACTCAACCTACCTGTACAATAGGAGCACCAACTCCTCCATTGAGCCAAACCCAGTGAAGGGTAGGGATCACTCCGTATCCCGAAACAGAACAGAAGATGATGGAGCGGAGCCTCTGCCACTGCTGCGTGAGGTAATTGGGATGGATCTGCGCAAAGAACACTGCCAGGATCATAGCGAGCACTGTGATCAAGTACACTTGACGCCAATACTAGACGGGAAGGAAGTCAAATTTTCATTGTTACTAACAATAAGAAAAGGAAAAGAGCAATTCTGGCCTTTCCACTATACGTTCCAAACTTATTTACATTTTTTCATTTCTGAACATGGTTAACTTCCTTCCTTAAAACACTGCATGTTCCATACACCCGTTAGGTTTCTTAGGATGACAGTGAGTTGGTAGAAACCACATTTGTTCATACAAAAGCATTTTCTGAGTACCTGTTATATGCCAGGGACAATTTAAGTCCTGTAGACACAAAGCTGACTATGACACGGACTCTCCCAGTGGGTGAGCTCATAGACTATGGGAGGGGCAGACACGAACAAATGATTATAATCCAATGGTAAGTACTGTAACTGAGCTGTGAACAGAACGTTGTAGAGTCACAGAGGAGGGGGTGTCTGCTACCTGGAGTAGCTAATAAATGCTTCACAGAGGAGATGGTATCTAAGCAGATGATTCTTGAGGAACACATATGATTGTGTGGGAAGAGGGAATTCTCAAGGAAAAGGAACAGCACATACAGTGGGAAGGTTTTGAGAAGGGAGGCTGAAAGGCAGGTGTACTGTCAGGCTAAGGAATTAGAACTTTAACATGTTGGCACTGGGGGAATAGCAGGTTCTTTAAGAATGAGATGACAGGCCTGCTTTTCAAACGGACTTATTAGATAACTCTGACATCAGTATGAAAAAGAAAGCGGTGACAGGAAGCCAGCTAGAAGGTATCAGAATAACTGATTCAGAGTTAATGGAGGCTTGGGCTCTGGTTGAACAAGGAAGACAGAGATGTGAGCAGCAGATTCAGGAGACTTTTTAAAAATGAACTCAAATCTTAATGGTTGACTGGATATGTGAGAAGGCAGTAGAGGATGGCCAGAATGTTTCCATTACGAAAGGCCATGCAAATGCCTTCTACTAATAGGGCAAATGAGCAAAGATAATCCAGGTGTGGTGTTTGTGTGGGTGGGAGAGAGAGAATGGGAAAGCATGAAATGCGCATTTTCAAACAGATTCAGTTTGAAGGGTTTACAGAATATTTAGGTATCTAAACAAGCGGCTGAAGCTCAAAAGTTAGCATGACATAGAGCAGAGTTCTTAAGCTGGGCTCCAAGGACTTCTGTGGGGCTATTAGCTTCCTGAAATCACATGTCAAATTGTTTGGTTAATCTGTGCCCAAATGTATATTCCCCTGGATGGAGGGTCCAGAGTTCTCAATCTCATTCTCAAAGCAGCCTGTGTTCCTTAAAAGATAAAGAGCCACTACAGCAATTGAATATTTGGAAATGATTAGGTACCAGAGGAAAGAAACCCATTTTTCCTTTAAGTGATCATTAGTTCCAGTGGTTTTCTTTTCTCTTGGAAACCTAGCTTTTCTGAAAAGAGATTTACAAGAAGTGTCCTACTGCTCTCTTGAATTATCAGGTATGTTTGGGCAAAGGTAAACAGAAAACAGGTTAGCTTTCAGAGAAAGAATAAGATAAGTAAAACAATTCAAATATGACATGACTGCCCTCACAAGCTCCTAGTTATCAGCTTCTTCCAAATTTTCTAAAAGATATAAATGGTTTCATGCAAAATGAGTAAGTGAAAGCTGAGCAGATATGAACATTATATTACTAAAATCAAATCAATTTACAAGGTTAACTGCATATATATTTAATTAAATGCTTATGTTCCAAAGTAATTAGGCCTAAAAAGCCTAGTATGTAAGTGGCTACAATCAACAATTCTCTTACTTCAAGCCAAATTTATGATTTTTCTCTTTGCTAGTTTTACCGTTTAGCTTTACTGGCAGTTATCTCTGTTATTGCGCAGAGACAAAGGTCCTACTTAAGAATTCCCAAAGTCAGAGGAGTCCTGCGCTACAGCCAATCTTCCCAGTACGTTAAGGCTGGGGAATATGGCTTGGAGCACCTGCTACATGTGGAGGGCTTGTGGAGAGGACAGGCTCTACTCCTTTGTGAGCAGGACTACAAGTACCTAGTACGTATACTGCCCCTGCGCAGCTCTGTCCCGGCTCTGAATGGGAGGGAACTAAAGGACAAAAGAGAAAGAAAAGAGTAAGGTAGGAGGGGAGGAGGAAGAGAGAGGAGAGCTGAAGAGGACTTCCTGAATGGGAGGGCTTGAGATGTACTGAGCCCAGTGGGAGATTCAGTTGGCCTCCTTGGCTGGGCCGTGAGGTGATGAGCTAGAAGACTATATTCCATAGTCTGGCGGGCCAATATAATCCGATAGCAGTGTTTCAAATGCTGCTTTGCACAAGGCAACAACTGACTTCTGTGACATCAGCGTCAAAAGTAGAGCTGATCTCGAACTCAGAATAGATACATACTTGTTAAAGTCACTTACCACCCAGCTGGTCTGTCTCTGTGCTTACCTCCAAATATAAGACTAAAGAAAGGAAAACGTATTTCTTATGAAGAATTGGGTCAACATGCTCACAGACAAACACTTTGTTTTTTTCACTGAGAGACGGGTAAAGGATGAGGGAAAATGAAAAGCAGCAGCAGGCTTCATAATTTCATCAAGCGCTAACTTTAACTTCAGCTCTATAAACATAAAAGACATATAATGTGCATCTGAGGAATCATGTAGCTATATGGATTTGCTGGAAACATTAATAATGTAGTGTTTACATCCGTTTTAAGAAAATATCTTCATATATTTCAATGGAAAATTAGTAAAAGGAGTATGGATCTGGTAATAGATATTAGAGATCAAAGGGCCCTTTTGAAAAATGAGTTTACACAAGACTCTTCTTTCCTCTACAAGTTAATTATGTGTTTATTTAGAAGTTCAAAGGAACCACGGCAAGAAAACCCAAGACCTACGTGAAAGATAGAATGTAAAATGTTTTAAGTTACTTACGTTATTACAATAAAATGCATAAAATACCCCAGAGACATAGCATCCCAGTATTCCAATAGAAATTCCTGCATAATCTAATGCCATCCATCTTCGACAGGTTTTTTCTGATCGATGGCAGGAAAAAAGATGATAGCCCACAGAGCAAAGCATACAGACCTATGGAAAATAAAACAAATCTCAGCAAAGTGAAACAAAAAGAAATTAAAGCAACTCATGTGTGATGTTCAGGGAAGTGGTTACGTCAAGCCCAGGCTTTTTCGTCAAACAGACTTGAACCTGGATTCTGGCTTTGTGCCATAAGGCAAGCCATGTCATTTCTCCACGTCTCAGGTTCCCTATGGGTAAAATGGGGATAACAGTAATAAAGAAATTTAAAATGGTAGGTATTTTATAATATAAAATTTTAAATGAGTAGCACAGCAGTGGGAAAATTATACAATGTAAATGTTTTTAAAATATTAATTGAGGCTTATTTGGATTCACAAATGAGTTTCCTTTTAAAAAAGTACCCACTAGAAGTAGTCCTTAAAAAATTAATCAAAGAACATAGAATTGTATGATGTAAAAACATAAGCTCCTCCCACTTAAGCTATTCCCCAGCAGTAGCTCCTGATAACATTTGTTATGTGTCCTAGATATCTTCAATGAATGTATCAAACACCTATGATATATAAGTCCACATGTACACAAACACACGATACATTCTTTTCAATCAAATGGAATCACATAATACATTCTGTTCTACAATTTTGCTTTTTACACTTAAGACTTTCTATGCCTGTATGAGATTACATTGTAGAGTTTACTTTTGGGTTTTGAGTTAAACACAGTTTTGTTGCGTCCAAGAAAAAATAATTGTGACTTATGCTGACTCTATGTTGCCAAATTGAGAGCAAAGCTAATCTGATGCAAGCACCTCCTCTGAAGACTGATAAGGTTTCCATGGTTGAACTCTCTCCAGCCATTAAATAACAGCTGTGTGTCATGCCCTGGGGATACAAGGATGAGACCTCTACTGTCTGAAAGATTTTCCTGAAACAAGTGGACAAACAAGTGGTGATGTAAGAAGTCACAGTAAGAAAACAGAGGAGGAAGGGGCCTTGGTTTGTGGCATTTGTTTGGTGGGTGAAGTGGTGGGGAGAAGAGCTTTACAGAAGGGCTGCGACATGAGCTGGCATTCAAGAATATAAATAAAGGTGGCCACATGTTTACTGGAGGGTCCACAGGAAAAGCAGTGTATTGAGAAACACAGACCCATTAAGGAATGTCATGTGGCCCTCTTCATAATACAATTATGACAAGTCCTACACCTCAGAGAGTTTTAACGTCAATATTATGGGCGAGGTGTGATACCACTGAAGATTTTAAGTGCAGCCTTATGTAAAGGCTAAGATGGGAGGTTACAGGAGTAGCCCTGGAAAGCAATGACAAGAGCCTCTAGTAAGCCAGTGACGGTGGGGATTGCAGTAAATGGCACAAATGATATGAAGTAGGTCAAATTGATAAATATTTTGTAAGCAACTGCTCAGGCAGAAAAATGGGTCAGCTAGCCAGTCTATAGTCTGGTCATTAAACCTAATCAGGCTCCACAGCCTCAGTATCAATATTCAAAACAATGTACCTAGCCACAATGTCATTTCTTCATCCATAGTCTAAAATCTTCATCAGTCTGTGGCTTTGGCTAGTAAGCCACAAGTCAGAGTTCACTGACCCAATTAAATATAACTCTCAGAAGCTTGGTTATTTGTTTTCTCAGATTACCCTTGAGATTAAACACAGTAAATCCTGAGGACACCAAGGTGTGTATTCTCACTGACAAGGGAAGATCTCATTGTCACAATGTTAAGTGACACAAAACAGCAAGCAGAGATGATTGTATCTCAGAAGCAGGGAGGCAAGTGGGTGGGAGGAACCTGTGAATACACAAATGTCAAATGTGCTTACCTCTGGGAAGTGGAATTTCAAATGGCTTTTACTTTCTTTCATATGCTTTTTTGTTTGTTTGAATTCCTACGTGAGTATATTTTATAGCAAGAAACAACAATAAGGCTAATTTCATTGTGAAAAGGAAAATAAAGAGAAAAATTATACCTTTCAAAAGCAATTAAAATATATAGTGTTAACAGAGAACACTGAGTTTTTAAAAAGTAAACCTATACTTAGTATCTGTTCTAAGTTTTAAAAGAAATCTGTTTTAAAAGAAATGTGTTATTATTAGAATTCCTTAAAAAAAACGGACTGAAAAATTATCTGGCAAATTGAGTTTGGTTTCAGTTTTCTGGAAAGTTTCCTTTTGTGGACTATCTCACTCCATCAAGGCAGACAGATAATTAGAATGTGACATCCTATATCTAATCTCCTTGGCATGATAACCAAATACTTCCGGATCCGGCTCCTGCCTCCCTCCAGCCTCATCTTTCTCCATTCTCCCATGAGCCAACCACAAAGGCCAACCCCTACAAGTCCAGAAAGTGTTGAACTGTCTCTTCCTTCTGGGCCCTTACACAAACTACTTGTATCTGCTTAAATCCCTGCCTCACTCTTCCTTCTGCCCTCCTACCTAGGTGACTAGATCTTTATGACAGGCTGATTTTGTTCAGCACTGTATTCACGATGCCTAGCTTAGTGCCTGGATGCAGATTGTGGAACTTAACGCAAATGAACTGAATCTAGGGAAAGGCATTCCTGGGATTCTACTCTTCCCTAAGACAGAAAGACCTCTGGGAAAGTTCAAAGCCCCTGAAATTACATTCTTCTTTTCAGAATGTACTCTATTAATCTGGTTGGTGGGAAGGTACTGAGTGTATAAAATGGTAGAAGGGAAAGAGAAAAAAATGTTATGTCTTTTAAAAATTAAATGTGAATCAATCATTTTTTTGGGGGGGAGAAGGAAAGGGGGAGAGAGAGAGAGAGAGGGAAAAGGAAAGAGAGAATCCTAAGCAGACCCACACCCAGCGCGGATGCCCAAGGTGGGGCTTGGTCCCAAGACCATGAGATCATGACCTGAGAAGTGATCAAGAGTCAGATGCTTAACCGACTGAGCCACCCAGGAGCCCCTAAATGTAAATCAATCTTAATTTGTGGTTTATCATGCTGCCTGCTGGCTCTAAGAATTTGACAAAATTGAGGCAACAAGTTATAAATTTAATTTCATAAAAATAAAAATAACAGAGATGGCAGTTTTCAGTAGGAAAAATCTGCTGTCTTTAGCATTTGTTAGCATCTTGCTGCCTTTAGCAACTTTTACAGTGTGTAACAAAGATCACTGCACTAGCAGCCAGGAGAACAAGATTTTACTGTCCTGCTGAATAATCCTGAGCAAGTCACCCTAACATTTTGGGCTTTTCTTCATTGGCAGTTGTAATTATTTCAGTTTTTCAGTTCTGCAATGCATTGTTTTCTTAAACCAGTATGAAGATTAATAAGCTTTCCTTGATCTAATGTCAGTTGTGGCTGGATGGTGAAGGAATAAAGGGCAGGCCCGAGGGTAGAGGAAAACGTGGGATTTTCAAAGTAGATACTATCCATATAATTAACAGTAGAGTATAAACCAGTTTAGTCTATAAGATACATCTAATGATTTAACTATAAAGAAATTGATTCATTTCTGTTTTAAAACCAGAGATGGATTCTAAGAGATGTTTAGGCTGCAATCAGGACAAAATGAGTATACTTTAAAAATATTTAAAGAAAAAATAATTTTCAAATAATAATAATAACAAAAATGCAAGAGTATTCTTTCCCTCAACGAAACTTAAAATATTATTCCAGAAACTAGAATTAGGAAAAAAAGAGAAGGGAGATGTTCCTAACGTGTTTTTAGTCATTTAACTCCGAAGTCTTGAGTTGAATGGTGAAGGTCTAAAGTTATTATTATTATTTTTTAAGATTTTATTTATTTATTTGACAGAGAGAGACAAAGCGAGAGAAGGAACACAAGCAGGGGGAGTGGGAGAGAGAGAAGCAGGCCTCCTGCCGAGCAGGGAGCCCGACGCGGGGCTCGATCCCAGGACCCCTGGGATCATGACCTGAGCCGAAGGCAGATGCCTAATGACTGAGCCACCCAGGCGCCCTGAAGGTCTAAAATTAAATGATGTATCATGAAAGCAACATCTGTGCAGCTGACATATAGTACAGATGCATCTTTCACATGGTAGCCACAGGTTAACTGCAGGGAGTGCTGGCCTGTATTTGCGGGGGGGGGTAGCTTTTAATTTTTATGTTTTTCTGCACACTCAGCATTTTTTTTTTAATTTTACAAATGTCAGCAGGATTTCAGTCCATATTTGTTTTTTTCTTCAGAATTATTTGTTTTTAAAACTATTATATATAACTTTTAAAGGAATTTTACAGATCCTTGAAGAAAACTGAAAGTGCTAGAGAACAAATACAAGAGGTAGAAAGGAGAAACTGAAAGTATTTGAAACCAGGAAAGCATAAAAAGACCAAAGGAAATGAACATTAAAGCAACAGAAAAGATCACCACCAGCAAAACAAGACATCAAAATTAAGACAGTATGGAAACAAATACTGAAATCACAGACATATAAATAGGAAAAAAGATGGGAAATCTGAAAAATGTTTTAAGCAGTAACTAGTGTTTTTTTTTTTAAAGATTTTATTTTTGACAGAGAGAGAGTGAGTACAAGCAGGGGAAGCAGCAGGCAGAGGGAGAGGGAGAAGCAGGCTCCCTGCTCAGCAGGGAGCCCAATGTGGGGCTCGATCCCAGGACCCTGAGATCATTATCTGAGCCGAAGGCAGACGCTTAACCGTCTGAGCCACCCAGGTGCCCCAGTAACTAGTGTTCTATCTCAGCCAGAAAATAGGGTTCCTATCCTTATATTAATCTTAAAACAGAAATCTCTAAAAAGGGAAGGAGAAAAGGAAAGGCATTTTTTCAATCTTTAAAATCTATTGGATTTCAAGTATACTCTAACAGTAAAGTCCAAATATACTTTCATAAAAACATTTTTGCTGCTTATATTATGAAAATGAATAAGCTAACCCATATGCTATTTTGGGACTCTTTAAAACAAGTGGTGGCTGTGACGTAAGATCACCTGCCCAAGCTTGTCTGACTAAAGTTCTCTTTACCAATAATAATGTTTGTGAAATGACTTACCTGGAAGCAGAAAAGACAAATAGAACAAATTACAAAATCTTCTCTGGACGCACTTGCCGAAGGTAACACTGATGTCATATCATATATTCCCAGGGTAAAGAAGAGAAAAAAACCCAGCAAATGACTCCAGATGTTTACTGTCTCATTAGATAAAATAAACAAACTGGAAAACAAACAGACATGCATCTCAGATTCATATTGGCTTGCTCACCATCAGCATTTAGAAGGTTAGGGACAGTTTGGCGGGGGGAGGAATTATCTAACATTTGCTACTTTAAGCCCCTAACCCCATCTTTGCCTTTGCAAATATGGTATCTCACTTAGTCCAATTGATCTTTAGGTTCTTCCACATCTCCACCAATCCTGAGATCTTAGAGCTTTTTGGTGCTCACCTCTCTTATCATATTTACCATTTCCTTCCTCATCTGAGTTATTTGTGTATAAATTCCGTCACATCCTCCAGCCTATCAACTCCCTGATGGCTGGCACCATCCATCTTTATGACATTACTGTCCCAAGCAGAGTGCCTTGCTCAGATTAGATGCTAAATGTCTACAGAAATGAATGTGCAGATTAAAACTGGATGTTAGCTACCATACTTTCATGTTCAAAAACAGGTATCCAAAAACCTTCTAAGGTTAGGCACAAACTTAAAATACCTTTTTAGTACACATTAAACGCAAATGCAAAGCTAAACAGACTCGAGAGAAGCATTTCCACTGGAAATGTCCTTTAAGATAGGCATGCTGGAACAGCTTTGCTGTGGTTGTGTGAAACCAAACTAGTTCCTAGGTCGCATGAGTTTCTCCTTTTTAAGAACAATAGGTTACTTTAAATATCAGTACTATTTGCCCACTAAATGTCTAACTGGTTTGAGTTTAAGTAACCTTAACAGCATAGGTTGGTGTAGAGTGTACCACACCAACCAGGAGTCAAGAGGCTCACTGTCTCTCCACTCTCACCCTCAGCAACAAATTAGCTCTGTGATCATAAGCAAGTCACTTAACCTCTCTAGCTTCAGTTTCTTCAACTATAAAACAAGGGAGGTGGATTAGATGCTGCTGCAAGTCCCTTCTAGCTCCTTCATTTTGTGAAATGTTTCCCTAGCTGTGGATAGAACTCGTCTGATTATTTATTGTTTAAAATTCTCCTGCATTTCTCTTGCAAAATCTAATCTTTTTGTTTGAATTAAGGTCTTTGACATTCACTGGTTCAGATTCCTTATTAATAAGCATTAATGTATAACTCTAACTTACTGAATTTGTAGGAATCACCATGGTTCTCATTTTCCCATTTTTACACATCATAAACATAACAGGGTCTCACGTTATCAAACGATCATCAAGAATAAAGTGAATCTTATCATGAATTTCAGGCTTTACCCTGTATAAGCATCAAGTATAAAGACTACTCATATGGGGCCGGCGGGAGTGAGGATGCAGGAATGTGAAGGAACATAGAGGACTAGTTTGATGATCAATACTCTGCCTGTTGCCTCAGAACTTTTCACTGTGAAACCCAGTATAACCTGATTAACTGAACTGAGAGGCACAACCTTGGCATGCTCCTTCCAACTAACAGAGTGTTGGCAGAACAGCTGTAACACACAAAACCTCTCCTTATATCCAAAATCTGTCCTGGTCACTCTTGACAGCTAAAAGAAGAGAGGGCAAAAGTTGAACTTGGAAAAGACCAAGCTGGTGGGAAGAGCACTTGGAAGAATATTCCCTGTAGAGAATCGACTCTTACTCTGTGAGAAGTTATGCTTCTCTGTTCAGCTTCAAAACCAATAATCAGGATGATAACAAGTCACCATTAATTGAGTGCCTGTTAGGCGTCATGCCCTGTGTATCATTTTATACACATAATCTCATTTAATCCTTAATATTTTTTGAAGCAGGAATTGTGATTATCCTTGTTTTTACAGAAGGGTAAAATAAGATTCATTAAATGGTTAAGGGGCAGATCTGGATACCCGAGTCTTTTTGACTCAACAGCTCAAAGCACTGTATGTATTTCACTTCTCAATCCATGAGATTTGGACACTAACATCAGAATCCAGAGGACTACTACTATGTGGGTAATAAAATACTTAAGGTATTAAGGTAATTCACTACCTGCTCTGTCCTTGTGGAACTTCACCTCCATAGCAAGGCCCAGCTCTGATTTCTTGTATAATAACCTATGCAAAGGAGACACCGGGGAGGCAAATAGTACTTAGGAGTCAAATTGTGAAGGCCTGTGGGCCATCCACTGAGTAGGGATGGGCAGAATGTCACCTTGTGACTGTGAGTCCAAAACACTTTCAAGGCAGGGCAGAAAGAACTGGGGAAAGACCACGCTGAAAACACGAAGAATCAGATGTGTGATTGCTTCCTGAGCAACTCAACATTCCAGCACTAGAGTTTGTCACTATAGCATCCTAGATCTAACCAGTATCTGTACCTTAATTCTCTTGAAGTGGGGTTCTTTATTTAAGTACATACAGTGAGTTTTAACACAAAGCTAGCCTAAAAACCAGAACACTGATTTTTTGGTTTTATTTTTTAAAACCCAGGCTTTCAAGAGACTCATGGTTTTAAAGGTTTAGATGATAAAGAAATTCCTTTCTTAGAAATGCTTCTAGGGTGCTCTAGTAGAGGGTGGTGCCCGTTAGAGTCTCTCTTCGCTATAGTCCTTTTCCTACACAGCATTTTTCACAGTGGTTATTATGCAATAGAGTAATTACCTCTTTAATGTGTGTCTTTCAGACCAAACCTTAGTAGTTTCATGAGAACAGGGGCCACATCTGCTGTTCTCTGCATGACCTGGTATAGTGCCTGGCACCTAGGAGGGTCTCCATAGTATCTGCTGAATGAATGAGTCAGGGGTTTCTCTTGAGATACACATATGCATGCATATGGCAATGTGAACCTGTTTTCTATTATATTAATATAATTTCCTATTATATATCATGTTGGGCATTTATCAGGCCCAAACCATCTGCATTTCCATAGGGTTGATCTAAAAATAAACAAAGGTTAGGTATACACTGGGGCAAGTATCACTTGGCCATTGTTAGTGGGGTCGATTCCAATAAGCACCAAATGCGATAAAGGATGTAGAAGCTCTCTGTAAACTGCAGAGCACCATAGGAGAAATTGCTATGGTGGTAATTAAAATCATTGTTAACTGTCATTATTATTGCGTGGATCAAGCACCCGGCGGGGGGAGGAAAAAAGATAACGAGAGGGAGAAATGGCAAAAAGGAATGAGAACGATGGGGCAGTTAGGAAATGATGGGCTCGGGGAAAGCAGCACAGACCCCAGACAAAAAGGGTGTAGGTGGGGAGGAGAGGCTGCCGGCGCGCCCCCTGAGGCGCGCCCCGCGGAGGCGGCGGGACCGTACCTTTTGATACACAGCCTGGAGGGCAGGTAGGCCCGGTAGCCGTCGGTGATGTACGGGTTGTCCTTGAGGGACACAGGGATCTGCTCGTAGGTGTAGAGGCGGATGCCGCGGGGCACCAGGACCGGCCAGTACTGGTAGCTGCCCAGCTCTATGTAATGCGCGCTCTTCAGTAGCTTCTGATGCATCCTTCCCTGCCGCCGCCGCTCCCTCTCTGGGGAGCTCGCCCAGGCCCCGCCTCCCCGGGGAGGGGGCTTCGCCGCCGCCGCCCCCGCCCCGGAGCGCGCGAACGCAGCTCGAGGTCCTACGGTCCCGCCGCTGCCCAGGCCCCGCTCCGCGCTCACACCCGCCGGCCAGCGCCGTCTGCGCCGCGGCGGATCCAGCGGCGTCGCAGCCTTCTCTGACGTCAGCACGCCGCGGCGGGCCCCGCCCCTCGGCCTCCTCTGGGGCAGGGAGGTCTGGGCTGGCGCGAAGCGGGAGCGGACGCGCGCTTGGGCGGGCGGCTCGGGGCCGGGCGTTCGGGCAGCTCCGGGCGGCGAAACTGAGGTGCCAGTCTCTCCTCGTCGGTGAGAAGAGCACAGGACTGTGCAGGCGAATACAGGTGGTGTTTTCTTCAAGGGGAAAAGAAGAGAGTTCACTGGAAGAATATTAAGAGCGAGAGCTAACTCTTCACCAGTTACTTACACTTAGACTCTCACACGTAGTGTTAGAAGGGACTCTCGAGGTTTTCTAAGCTAAAGTCAGTCCTTTGAAGTAGCTGAAAATAGAGGAAAGCTGATGCACTTGGAACATTTACCAAAATTGAGTATGCACTAAGCCATAAAGAAACCCCCAGCAACATTCAAAACACTGAAACCATTCAGGGCATGTTCTCTGACCACAATAGAATTAAAGTAGAAATAAACAAGAAAACTAAAAACTCCCAAATGTCTGGAACCGAACAAAACACTTCTAGGTATTTCATGGCTTGATGAAGAAATCACAATGGAAATGAGAAAATCTACTGAACAGGATGATAAAGATGGAACATAGCCAAACTTGGAGTGCAGCTAATACAATGCTTAGAGGAAAAGTTACAGATTTCTTTGTTTCTGGCTGTGCACTATGATGCAAATGTTTTTTTAATAACGGCGACAGGATGAAACAGTTTTGCATCCCTATATGTAGTATCCTTAGCCCATTCTTTGGCATATAGTAATCACTCATTATTCCTGTTATTTATTTATTATTATGGTAGTAATATTAGCTGATGTTTGAGAAACAGTATGGCTTAGTGATAAGTTCTGAGCTTTGAAGCCATGATACCTGGGTTTGAATTCTTGTTCAGCCATTTATTAGCTATGTGCCCTTGTGCAAGTACTTAACATCTCTGTGTCTCAGTTTTCTTATTTATAAAATAGGGGTAATGGAGGTACTTTATGTTGTGAAGATGAAATGAGTGAATCCATTTAATAACAGAAAAGTGCCAGGCATATTGTTATTATCCAAAAATGTTAGCCATTATTAGAATTCAAGTGAAGATGTATTAGTAGATAAAACTGGAGAGATAATATCCTAAATGGACTTAATGTCATGCGAAGGAATTCTTTAAGTCATGGAACTAAAACTAATATTTGGGAGCTAACTGTGTGCCTAGTACCTTATCTTTACTGAAGGTTACTACATGCAGGAATTGTTATTTCCTAATGGAGGAAGTTCATGTCTGAGAATGCCTGTCACTCCCACTGACCCCTTCTGGGAAGCTCCTTGTGCATGGATTCTTGCTGGTACCGTATGACACTAACTTGTGGTCACTGCTGATGCAAAGGTGTCCTGACACAAATGTCCATACAATAGCAATGGTAATTAGCTTGTCCAATCAGTTTCTTTCTTGGGAATTTGATCTGGACATGTGGGAAGAAAGTCTGCAGTCTGTTATTTGAAACAGAATTAGAAAGGTGCTCAGAGATGATCAGAGATTGAGAAAGTAGCTGAGTTGTAATGATGGGACACTAGAATGAAGAACTAAGAACGGCAACTGCTTTGACCGTCAACAATGTGCCCATGAAACCTGTTGCAAAACGATTTCTGTATGATTTTTATAATTTATACCCATTTCAGTTCTCTCTGATTCATTCATGTGGTTTGATTTTTAAATTAAGCACTCTTTGACATCAAGCACTTAAAAAAAACCCAGATATAAAATGAATGGACAGATATGAAAAGCTAGATGTCACAACAATCCATGTCTGAATCCTAGAGAAAAAAAAAAAAGAGGTCTATGAGAAAAAAAAAAATTGAGAGATCTCTTCTACTCAGGTCTGTAAGACAATGTAAGCAGGAGCAACATTGCTTTGGGGCTTAACAGATGAGAACACAGAAGGGAGAAGCACAATTCCCCACAGAGAGCCATGGAATTTTGGAACTTTGAGGGGTCTGGATGTTCAGCCATGGTGCTTGACAGAAGACCTAAGTGGCCTGATAGAGGAATAACACCTGGTGAGGTCTCTGGCACCTGGGGATGGGTGGGGGGTCAACAGCAGCATGTAGCAGGAGACCTCAGTGGCCTTGAAGTGACAGGATGGAGAACTCAACCACCCAGCAAGAGATAGTGGGAAAATGGCAGCGCCCCATCCTGAGCACCTGTGAGACACATCTCAGGTTTTAGAGATGCTTGCGGGGGGGGGGGGGGGGGGGGGGGGGTTGTTCTCAAGGAGCTGTAAGCCCTGCCTCTCACAGGGGCCCAAGAGCAAGGAAACTTTGAATTTGTACTGTTTCAATGAGTCAGTCTGTATTTTACAGGCATATGCAGTTTGGGAGAACTTAGATTATGCCTTGTTTTATAGGATGATTTTCAGTGAGCTGGGATGGAGAGACATGGGACTGGCATGGAACATTTGGGTGAGTGAGGTATTTTTTTCTTTTTTCTTTTCTTTCCCTTACCTTCCTTCCTTCCTTCCTATATACCCTTTTTGCATTTTTTACAACGTAACAGTGTTGGAGTGAGACTTGCAGGTATTGAGATGGACACAACATGGACATTTACACTTACTGAGTTTCAACTATGTGCCACATGTTTTCCTAGACACTAAGAAAACAAAGATGAATAAGGCATCTTTTGCACATCTCAGCAGCATTGACATTTTGACCACTCCCTACCCCCAGACTCTTTTTTTCTGGACTTTGGGGACATCTTTCACCTGGATTTTTTCCTTACCTCTCTGGCCTGTCCATCCCAGAGACTTTTGATACCTGCTATTTCTCTACCTGATCTTTAAGCCAGAGTGTTTTTCAGGATTCTTTCTTCATTTTTTCTTTTAATATTCTATTTTTACTCTATGTATTTTCTTTAAGGTGATGCTTCTCAAATCTGCAGTTTCAGGCCACATCTCCTTTCTGGGCATCTGGGTTCACATTTAGAACTGGACATAGAAACTTGAAATATTAAAAATGAACTCGTTATCTTTTCTCCTAAATCTGTTTTTTATCCCATATCCCTATTCACTCAGTGTTTTAAGCCTCAGAGTTATTTCCTCCCCTGGCCCCATTTTTTCAGTACTCTCCTTTCTGTCTTTCCCTATCACCTTAACCAGTTCCTGCCTTATTAGGCTGATCTGAAAATACAAATGAACAACAAAGAGTTCATCAATTTAACTATACCCTCTTTAATCCTACACTCAAGTTTCTGAAGAAAATGACAAAATGGCATGGATTAGTATCACTATGAATTCAGCTTTCAGTCTCTATGAAACTTCCAAGACCACTCTAGATATTTTAAACATTCACTGAATACCTTATGCTCCCCACCTCCCACCTATATCAGCAGATAATCCTTTTCCTGTTTCACAGAGAAAATAGAGAACAGAGAGTGGGAACTTCCTCAACTCTCTGCTGTTAGCCCTCCATCTCTAAGTTTACCACAAATTTTTCGTTTCCTTTCCATTGTCTCAGTAGAAATGACCACTTTCAGCCTCCTACTTAGGGTCAATCTGCTACCTATTTTTGGTATCATATTCCCTTTAGTCTCCTCATGGATTTTGCTCTGCCAATTACCCTTCTCTCAAATGCATCTCCAATGTTCCGCTTTCTACTTTTTCTCTCCCTTTGGCACATAAACCTGTTCAAGTCTCATTCATTTTAAACCAAATGAGCAAAAAGAAAAAAGGAAACCTCTCTGTCTTTGCCCTATGTCGTCTTAAACCTATAGCTCTCTCTCCTTCCATTCTCAGCCACACTTCAGCGACAGAAGCCTACATTTATTATTCCCATTTCTAACTTTCCTTTCGTTCCTTATCTCACTGCAGTCTAACTTTTGCTGTACAGCTCTATTGAAACTTCTTTTGCCAGGAATGTTAAACTCATTGGACACTTAAAAACAACAACAACAACAACAACCTCTTAATTGTAAAATAAAAATACGGGAACAAACAAACCACAACAAAATGGACTTTGCCAGTCATGCCAGTACCCACTTCATACTCCTCATACCAATCACAATCTTTCACCTTCCTCTCAAACTAATCAATACCCTGACTTTTGATTGCAAAAGTCACCCCCTTGGGTCTTTTGATGGTTTTGTTATCCAAGTATGCGTCCATTGACAAGGTAGCTTTAGTCTGCCCATTTTTTAAAAACTTGATCTTTTAAGTCCCTTTTGAAATGTACAGATTTTCCTCCATTCCTTTCATTGCTTACAATTTATCTGTGAAAGAACTAATATATTTTCTCATAGTCTGTTTTCTGCTCTTTGTAGAACCATGGTATAGTTCCATATGTTACTCTGTCATCTGTATTCTCTGCACATTGCCAGTGGGATCCAGAAGCTTGATCAGATTCCTTTTGATCCTTTTGGCGAGACTATAGGTGGTAAGGTGTTCTTTCATCTGGAGACACCTAATATCTGGGTTTTGTTCTTTCTTGATGTTACCAACCATTGATGTTCAGTGCCTAGATCCATTAATTCATGGTGTTTGCAAAATAGTGACAGTAAAATTTTGTCATTTTGTTTCCTTATGTTAACTGGAATATTTTTGTAAGGAGATACTCCTCTACTGTTTGGTTACCCAGTGATATAGTTCAAATAGGGAAAGCAAGATAATTGATTCTTTCATTTTATTTACCTAGGTTTCAAGAGAACAAGTTGGTTCGCTGTTATCTTCACAAGGACCAATTCAATTAAAAACATTACTTTGAAATCACGAATTTAAAGATATTTGATCATTTTCAATTCATTGTAGTTCATTTCTTCACTGATACTCAAATTGCTTCATCTTTGGTCAGTGGGAGCCTCTTCAAATTGGCTCCTAAGTTCTTATGGCATGACCTTAGTAGGCTTTAATAGCTTCTTTCTTTTTGGTGTGTCAAGATGGTACTGGCTCATCATGTGA